TCTGAAAACATTGCAGAAAGGAAAGCATGGTTTATCCTGACTTCTGACTTTATCTGCAGAGATTATTTTCTTTTGGCTTTGTTTGAAATGGGCTGGAATTAACCAAACATACCTAGGTCTGTGTAGATGACTGGTCTATTCAGATGAATATGGCAAGCACTGGAAGTTATCTGAATGTTTCTGGTATTTTGTAGGTTACATGTGAGTTTTTTTAAGGAAGAGGCACAAGAAAAATGTTTCTCTTGGAGTTTCTGCTACATTCTGTATGGGGGTGGAACAATTTGCATGATATGTGAACAGGAATAAAGTAAACTATGAAAAAGGGCAGAAGTTAGGAAGAAGGAGTAAAGGTAGCATAAGTTCTTAAGCTACTTTGAATTGTAATTTTAAAGTGTTTTGAAATGTTGGCTTTTATACCTCAGTGTTGAGAAGCTTGTTTTGGTACTTGGTTTTTGGTGCTTGTTTTTGGTACTTTCACTGAGGTTGTTCTTAATGGTAAAGTAAGTTACAGTAAGGAACTTACAACAGTTACAGTAAGTGACTTACTGTACAGAAATAGAAGTAGCCCATTGTGGTGGTGATGGATCTAGCAGCAATAGGCAAATGTTAGCCACTAAGTTTGTGTTTCGGAGTGCTGAAGCACAGCTAAATGTCTCAGATGCATCTAAGTTGTGCCTTAGCCAGCTGATTGGTAGCTTGAGTCCTTTTCAACTTGTAAAGGGGCTTAAGGGGAAAAGGTCAAATGAACATTTAAATATAATTAATCTTATGTTCACAGGGAATTCAAATAAGCCTGTGTCTGAAAGTACTTAGATTCTTCTTAAATTTTCTTCCTTTTTATTCTCTCCCTCCCATTTTTCAATGCACTTTGCTAACCAAGGAAGAAGTTATTGAGGAGTAGAAACAGAATTAAATTCCCTCCCATTTTTCAATGCACTTTGCTAGCCAAGGAAGAAGTTCTTGGAATTTAATTCTGTTTTTACTCCTCAAGCTGTGATTTCCTGAGAACTTTTGTCTGAATGGGATGAATGGGCAGTGACAGAACAGGGCTAGGGGGAGGGTGGGCAATATTGACTAAAATGAGGGTAGGATATGGAAGTAACTTTGTAGTATCACAGGAGAGAAATGTTAGCATGTATACTTCTGGGATACCATGTACTCCTGAGAACACTCATTTTTAAGCTTGGAATACATTATTCAAAGTAGATAAGGTGGCAAACTTCAAGAAAATGAAATAGATTTTGAGAGAATGGGGCTTGCAGGAGGAAGTGTCCAATATTCTCTTTAACCACCATCTTTCTTGTTCTTCCCCAGAAGAAAAGTGTTTATATGGATCAGCTAATCACATGCCATAGTCCTGAGAACAGTAAGAAGCACCAAGTAGCATAAACATTCTGCTGCTGTGCCCTGTATAGTTTTGTAATGAGGGGCAGTTGGGGGTATGCAAAATGACTCAGTGTAAATAAAAATACTTTCCTTGGCATTTCTGAGTTGTTCATGGTGGCATTCAAGTAAGAGTAAGGATATAAGGTGGTAAAACTGTATCTTTAAATATTTTAAAGGATGCTTCTAGTATAAATCAGCATTTCCTGTGCTCAAAGTGGAGAACTGTTCCTAATTCTTTAGTATATTTGCTTCAGTGTTAATGACAAAGTGCTATTTTTCATCTTATTCCTGAAGAACCATTATAGTAAGGAATGTGAGATGAATATATTCTACTTTGGCATTTCTGCATCAGCATAATTGTTAATCTCATAAATTATTTATTTTGTGCAATAAGACAGAATAGTTGAAAGGCATCATAGGAGCCTGCCTGGTCTGCAGAGACTGTTTGTGGTGGGGGAGGTGGAGGTTCTCCCTCCATCCCCCAAGTCACTGTGTAGTTCTGGAAGTGTAGAGAAAAATAAACCCTCTCCTCATGGTTACTTGTGTATGGCAAGTATGTGTTCAGTTGCTTCCCAATATTTTAATTTGCTTGTATTCCAGATGTTTGCATTGCAGTGTTTACATATTTAAACTTTAAGATAAAGCTCTTAATCTGAGAAGTCATTGTACTAAACCATTAAGAGCCTGGGGATGTAATGCTTGCTTCAAAGAAAGCAATTGCATGCCTATGTAGAAGTCTCATACCACTTGACAGCTTTTGTTGCCCTAAAATGTGTCCCGGAGCACTGTGCAGACTGATGTTAACCACATTTTTTCAAATCATGACTTGCAGTAAGTCAGCATTCCCAGCAAGAACTGAACTTTATCCTGTCATAACTTCTGCCTCTTCCTGTAGACTTTTAAAATAAACTGTAAACTACTCTCGTGATTTCCTTTTGTGTATTTGATTTTTCACAAATATTTTTGCTGCTCCCCTTCTAATATGTGTGGGGGAGACAGAATAAGACATTTTCTTGAATCACTCTGATATGAACAAATGTTCCTTTAAAGCCTTAATATCCCAACATTTTCTGATACTACTGTAGTGGTACTAGAGGTTTGTTTTTCCTTGTCAAATATTCTTCCTATCTTGCTCTAGGGATGTCCCCTTTTTTTTTTTTCCCTCCCCCAGAGTAAGAGAAATTGGAAAGGAGTGAGCTGTGACTCTGAGGAAAAAAGTTGGTAGGCTAATGCCACCTTTTTACTAGATTAACTCTAAAAATTACATGTCACAGACAGGCTTGGAAAAGTGGTTACACTCACTTGTTTCTGGTTTCTCACAAGCTGTTAAAGCTGTACTTAGTACTGGTTCCTTTTTGCCCCTGCCTCTGGAGCACAAGATGCTTTTTGACTGGTGAATTCTGAAAGCACATACCTGTCTGAGAAGTGACTTTCATCAAAGCTGACAAGGAACTCTTAACTGTGTGATTAATTTTTGCAGCTTTTTGAATTTGATGCGATAAGTTGAGTAAATCAGAAATATCTTTACCATTATTTCATAGAACAGGATGCTCAGCTGGAATGAACATACATTTCTGCTCCAAAGCAGAAATGAGTATCTCTTAAATCTCTGCCTGTAAGCCTTGTGTTCAGTTTTGTTTTGAGGGTGTTGGTGGTGAAGAAGCCTCTGTCCTCCTGTGATTTATTTAAACCCATTCTTCCCCTTTTATCTTAAGGAAGATCCTAAGTGTTCTTCAACACTTTAAGGAGTGTTTTTCTATGATCTAGCTGAAAATTGGACTCAATTATTAACTCTGACAGTCTTTATTTTTAAAGAGTACTACCAAATTAGCCTGAATCCACTCCTGTGCAGGTTACTTACCTAAATAAGACGCTTGAGGACAGTGAAAGCCAGTGGTTTAGGCCAAGGCTCTCCATGTGCCATGAGGCCCCAGTTAGCAGTTAGTGTGTGGGGTACATGGGTGCCTGTAGAGTCCAAAGTCTGCTCAGCTGGTGCCACTGAGTGTATTAAAGCAGGGTAGATCTGTGCTTCCTCCCAGAAGGGAGATGTGGGTACGTCCAGGGGGAGAGTTTCTCAACCATCTGCATTCCTGAGTGTCTGTACAGTGTCACAGGGCTCTGAGCAACCAACAAGGGTTGGGGAATTCTGAAAATCAAAATAAAGCATCTGCTGTGCTACTAGAGATGGTGCAGATAAACATACTCTTGTCTCCCCTCATTTTCTTAAAGAAAAATTAAAAGCTAGTTTAGTACACTTGTATACGCAGGGTTCCTTAAAATACTTTAGTTTTGTCTGCTGACTGCTTAGCAGGTTTGTATGAATGTCAGGAAATTGTCAATTTAGGATTAGAAACAGAATTTGTCCAACGCTTTGACCTAATGTGAAGAAGCTGGGATATGAGGTTTGTCAGCCCAGTTATTACATACATTCAGTTCAGAAGGAGTGGGGAGAGGCAATGAGGAACTGAGAACACAAACATCGATCTTGTACAACATTACCATGTCAAAATGTGACTAATGAATTTGTTAGTGTTTTTTTCTAAAAATTGTAAGCCAAGTTAGATGTGTAGTAGAAAAGATGTTATAGATGCAAGAGGAAGCACTTGTTTGCCTCCCCCTGCTTTTTTTTCTGACTTGGTTTTAAGGAACTTGGGTTATGAATGGGTAGCTTCATCCCCTGGTCTGATTAATCTGCTGGAAACCAAAGTCCTTTTGCTGTGCCGCTACTCTCCGGGTGTTATTTTTCTTGTAATGGGACAACAAAAAAATCCATTTTTCTATGAAAAAAGTTTCATGTTTTTATTATCCAACCAGTAAGTTCCTGAGGATGGATAAAGTACTTTTAAATCTAGTTGAGCATTAAGCTGACTTAAATCCCAATATTAAAAAAAAGATGCCTGAAGAACCAGTCTACTGCCACCATTTTATCTATATTTATAGCTTTCTCTGTTGCTTTTCAGTGTTTGTATAGTCCAAAAATTTCTCAGACTTTTAGTGTTGATACCAGGTTTTCTTTACCAAAAAGTTTTACTACTACTTTTCTCAGATACCACAGATATTCTACTTCTTGTGGAAGTGAATGTGTTAAGTTTTGTGCAAGTTTGTTAGGAAATACCTGTTCATAGTGTGACAGTATCTATGCAAACATGACTGTAGGTTTCTTGTTCCTTTCATTGACTCAAAGCCAAATTTAGTTTACAGGTTTTTTAAAGGAGCAATTTTAACTGTCATTCACTCACCTAAATTGAGATGTGAATGTAAAGATACTTCCCTGTTTTTTTTTCAGTTTCTACCCGCTAGCCATTGTTTTTATAATCTGAATTTACTCATCACATTGTCAGGATTTATCTTATTCTTTCATAATTGTTTTGTATCTCTGGGTTCATTTAAATAAGCATATGACTCACTCCCTGCTTGAGACAAGTATGCTGGGTAGGAAGCAACTTGCCTTTAGCATTAGTTATTTTGAATGTAGCTGGGAATGCTCTGCTGCTGTCACCTGCCAGGAAATGTTTCTTTTGAGAAAATCATAGGTGGCGTAGTCGGAATGACTTGTGCTGAAAGCATGCAAAGCTGTGCTGGCTGTTTCTCCATTTCCAGTTACAATGGCAAGAAAATGGTAAAACTGCTCCTTAGTTATCTCTGGCAGTATGCAAGTAGCTTTTTCATATCATCCATGTTGACCAAAGTTATGTGGTGAACTGTGGTGGTTTGTTTGCTTGTTTTTGTGTTTGTTTGCAGGCTAGGAGGTAGAGGAAGAAATGACAGAGCTACTATCATGGCCTTGTGGTCATTTGAAGCTAAAATTATCTCAGCTTTTCGAATTTCTTAGTGAACTTGAGCTCACCTGAAGCATTTCTGGTTCCTATTGGCCCTTATAACCAGAAACATGTTTTATTATTTTAAAGCTGAGAGTCCTTAGCAAACACTCAGGTTTTAATAAGTGTCAAGCAGCTTCTGTCCAAATATTTTGAAAATGTCTAGCATGATCACAAAGAGGCCAGCCAGTTTTTGTCTTGTTTACCATGAAGATGGGAGGCTTAAGCATAAAAATGAAGTATGATCAGGCAATTATTGTGAACTAAGTGGCTTTCAAGAAAGCTCTAAGGGAATGTGAACTGAATTGTTTTGTTCATCAAGTAAAACTGGTAGTTATGTAATTGAATGTTGGTAGTTCCCTGCTGTGCACTTTTTTTTTTTTTGAAACTAGCTTTTCATCTGTGTTCTAAGTCTTTCCTAGTGTTTTCTGTTTTTGGATCTTGCTGATTCAAACTTTATTTTTGTAAAACTATCTGTTTGACAGTAAACATTTGAAGATGAGATGCAAGTGAAGATAGACTTATTTTTTTAATACTGAGATTACCTGCCATCTGTAAATTACTGCTAGCTAGAAGTTTCTATGTTCCCCTGTAAGTGGAGGTTTTTCAAGTATGGTAGGTAGGTTTATGAACAGAAATGTTTAGTGAGTTTAATATTTACAGGCAACAGTTATAAACAAGTACCATCTAAACAGTATTTTGAGTAATGTGCATAAATTCTACCCAGTTTAGTGGATATTCGGTGTGTGATTCTTCCCAAGAACAGCCTTGTATCAGTGCTTTGTGGCTCATCTTTAAGTTTAGTGGCAGATTTACAGTGTGTGTCTTCCATCTTATTGAATTCAGTAAAATGGCACTATTATCACTGGCGAATAGAGGAAGTAGAGTAAAACCCTTTTTTTGTTCTGTTCATGGTGCATCTAATGTGGGAAGCTCTTCTAATCTAAGTAGTCCGATGGATTGCCTCGTGCTCTTACCTCCATTGAGTCACGTTTTCTTTGTACAGTTTGTTGCATAATTTAAGGACCCGGATCTAAGGCTTGGAAGCCCATCCCTTGTGTTTCTTGGTTTATGACTGTCGGCTTTGTGGAAAACGGCTGAGATGAAAGGATTTCTGGAGGATGCAAATTACTCCATTGGCCTGTTGGATGAAGGAGCAACGCTTGCAGATATTATTGACAACTGTATTTATGAACATACTCATGTAAGTTTCTAAATTTTACAAGTTATTGGTTAGTTCTCTTAAGTCCTCAAACTAGGTCAAGGTGTTTAGCACTGAGCTGACAGCAACAGAGGAACAGTCAGCTAAAACTCCTTAAACTAGATTTGTGTTCCCATTTTTCTTGTTTGTCTTGGGCTGAGTTTTGGTTGGGGAAATTTGGGCAACAATTGTTACCTCCCTGAGCATGGCTAGGAGGAAAATATTGCTAATGTGTTTAAAAACAGGTTCCCGTCTCATTCCTTGAAGAATGTTTATTGTCAATGGCCTTTAGACCAGGAATTTGAAATTTGGCAAGCTGGTAGTGTGCTGAGTTCAACACTTCTTTTCCTGAAAATGTGCCTAAGTTTAGACAAATTTGTATGCTCAGCCAGTTTAAAGCCATGTTTGAAACCTCTACGGTCAGTCAGGCTCATAGGTTGTGAGTCTTCCCATACGCCTTGTCCATGTTAGAAATGTGAGTAGGAGGAATGAGGACATAATGTCAGGTGTTGCTCCTTTCTCCCAAGAAAATGAACTGGTCTAAGTTAGTGAGGTTTAACTATTCCCTTGGAAAAAAGATACTTGAAGAATTCTGTGTACACAAAAATAGGTTTTATTGAGTTAGGACTCACTGCTTTTAGGAGGCTGGAAGATGTAGCCTGTTTTATAGACAGTTAGAAGAAGAACTTGATAAAAATGAATATTAAGCAAGTCCTGTATCCTTAAATATGCAATACCTATGAGCTGCTCGCTTTACCCTATGGTTTGTCAGAACTAGTGTTAGATGCAAGTGCTCAGCTCTAGTACAGCAAGTAGGTAAATCCCGTGGCCTTCTGCAGTCAAGTATAGGATTCCCAAATCCTGATTCCTAATATTCTTTTTCTGTCTAGCAAATAAATAGGTAAACTACTGGCAACATGTCATGTCTCCAACCACTGGCTGGCTCACAGAGGATAGCTGCCTCCTGCTGCTTTCATTTACTCCTTTAGCTCAAGGGGTAGAGGCCTGTGCCATGGATCTAAAGCTCTAGATCCCTTTGCTGCTGGTGACCCGTACAGGGGGTCAGTATGCTTCCACCCGATGGAATTTCTATTTGTGTTTTTTAAACGGAAATAGAGACATTGTGTACTATAAGCCACAACTGAATTTTGTATCTGAAAGTCAAATGCTAGCGTTAACATCTGATGTACAGCCTTAATTCAGATTGGTCATATGTTGTGTGATGGTCTCTAGTTGGTGTACAGAAGGTTATTCACTTACAGGAATGTTATTGAATGCACATTATGAACAAAAATCTGTTTGGCTCCTGGTGTACCACATCCACAACTTAATATTGAGCAAAGCTATGGAACAAATGCCCAAGGGGAGACTGTTACAGTTCCCATAAAACTATACATTTTATAAAGATTATGTACTTGACTCTGCAACCTTAGTATTTTGAATTTAGTTCTTTAAATTGTTCAACCTTTGAGCTTCATAAAATGTGGAGAACGGTCTCAATGCTTGACTTCATCAGTTGAAATATTTTACTGAAAATTTGTTCAATAAATATCACAAGCTAGGTGTTGAAACAGTGATTTGCATTAGATTTTCTTGTAAAATTCACAGATTATTTTGAGATTGGAAACTTTCATGTGAGTTTTCTTCCTCTGAAGAACTGCAGACTACTTTTTTTTAAAAAAAAAAAAAGTTACAAATCTCTTCCAACTTCTCTGCTTTTTAGATGCAATTGATATTTGGCATTTAAATGTTTTGCCCTGGAATCTCAGAATATTGTCTAAATAATATTTAAAATCACTTTGAGAAGTGGTAGGTATTCTCTGATGTAAAGCTAGTTCAAATTGTTAGGTAAAAAACAATGCACAAGTGAACTGTCAAACCTAAAAATTAATATCAGGACAGAGAATACATAATCCTTTGATTTCACCCTGTAGGTTGTTTGTCTTGACAGCAAGCCCACAATTTCAGGTATTTTATTTTCCAAACTTTATTTTTTAGACTGGCAAAAGAGCATTTTATGTTGGTGATCTTGGAAAGCTGGTGAAGAAAAACACACAATGGCAGAATGTGATGGCACCAATAAAACCATTTTACCCTGTAAAATGCAATTCTACTCCAGGTGTACTTGAAATTCTGGGAACTCTTGGAATTGGATTTGCATGTTCCAATAAAGTAAGTGGTTTTTTATGTATCTACGTGCCTCACTTCCCTTCCACCTGCTCAGTCTTTTAATATTAAGTGCTATGTTAATATAATTAAAACTGTAAATTCATAAGTAACTAGCTAGTACAAATTCATATGTCCTAGAAGCAGCAGATTATGGGCTGTTTTCTGTAGTACTAGAATACCTTTAATACCAGATCAGTTAAGACAGTGCTCCTGAATGTGTCTGAAGCCCTACTGTGGTCCTGTCTTTCAGTCTGAAATGGTATTGGTACAAGACTTGGGCATTTCTCCTGAAAACATCATCTATACAAGTCCTTGCAAGCAAGCTTCTCAGATCAAGTATGCAGCAAAGACTGGGATAAACATCATGACCTGCGATAGTGATATTGAGCTGAAGAAAATTGCACGTAGCCATCCAAATGCCAAGTAAGTGTCAATTTGTGCTTTTTACATGTTGGGAATTTGTCTGCAATCATGGGTTGTTTTGGTTGCAAGAGGTATGGCTTCTTTAATGCAGTTCACATACCTATTTTTCTTCCTCTTGCTTCTTTTGAAGATAGCTTTTGTGCAAGATTATTCCCAGCTGAGTTGCCACTTTTCCATATGATATTAAGTCCCCCTTTTTTGGAGGGAAATCTTTTTGAATTGGCAGCATGGGTCTTGACACATAGATTTGAGGTTCTGGCAGCTAGATTTCAAAATTTTGACATCTTGTCCTCTTCAGGTGCATCTTCATTCTGTTTTTTGACCTCAGTATTTTTTCAGGATGTTCTGTCTCGCCTTTAATGGCTTCAGACAATATTTGGGCAGAAACTGTCGGCCGCTGAGCACTAAATGGGTCCCATCTAGGGCTTTTATGTGCTATAGGGTTCAAGATGTGCCTGCAGATACTTCTCTTATGACAGTGAGGAAATTTGGCTCCGGTTCCTCTTTGAGCCTGGGCCAACACTTGACACTTTCTGTAGAGAATTAAAGCTGGTGTGTTAGCCCTTAAATATAAGGAATCTATTGCTACCAATTGTACCTGTACAGGATGAAAATTATTTAGCTTAATAGGTGTTTCATTAAGCATAATCTTCCTCAGATATGAGGGTTTTGTGGGTAACATCTGTAAGAAATGCAGGAGTCTCAGAAGTGAATATTAAGTGTTTGGTGACTACTGAAGTGTAGTTGCCATGCAAACTTTGGGGGCCCTGAGAGAATTGCTCAACATCCTTGCCAAAGCCCTTGGTTCTAGCATCACATCTTCTCAAAGCTGCAGCTGCAGTTACAGAATTGGGAAGATGGTACAAAACTGAGTATTTGGGAGATGGCTAGTCGTAGGTCACTGAGCACTGCCTCAGCATTTCATGCTGCTGTGACAAATGATAACAGTGCTTTGCATACTGGAGAGCAGTACTTCCTGTGCAAAGACTGCAGTCTGTACAGGTCTCGTTACTAGTGATTTATGAGCTAATTAACTACATTATCAAAACACAAGGGCAATTAAAATTGCCCAGGTGCTTAGTGACATTGGTGAAGCTGTTGAGCAAGTGCAAGGTACCTAGCACTGTGCAGGAA